CCTGTACCGCTACCATAGCCATCCATCAACCCGACGCACAACTATCATCACTACCACTGCTGGCACTAGCACTATCGTGATCGGCCTAGCCTAGGGCTAGAAACTACACTGTTTACCTCACTTTCACTTTCCAAATCACTTCCTGGATAATCGTCATCATCAATATTTTCTTGGGCGTCATAAAGTATAAATCTTAAAGCACCGTTGGCATTTATTGTCGAATTATTCAATATAAATTTGGTTTTTCAAAAAAATCCACACGTACAAGGCTGTCAGAACGATTTGAAAATGATGATGTCAAAAAATTACGTAATATTACTCATACTGGTCAGGTGATTACCCTGAATAACGTCACCTGCTGTCTCTTATACACATCTAGATGTGTATAAGAGACAGGGATAGGTCAGCCGACTAGGGACCCCCCCCCCAACCTAAATTTTTCAAAATGAAAAAAAGGAAAATTATATTCAAATTCTAAGTCAGAGAGTACGATTTCCAACCATCAAGAGGTGCCATAATCATAAATTTTCCTACCTCAGCCCCAACCATAGTGGGGCTTAGGTGGTATACACCCTCCACCTGTTAAAATCCCAGGGCCTATCTATTTCATAATCCTGGATCTGCCACTGTTTATAGTTATTGGTCCTACTCAGACAGAAAAGTTTTACATCTTTCTTTTTTTTTTTATTGCAATATGCAATTCCATTAGTCTTCCCCTTTTTTATTTCATTTCTTTCATCCAATTATTATAGAAACATACGAATAACTACCAAATAAAACAAAATATTTTATTTGAGATTCTATTAAAAGTGATGCACGCAGGGTAATGATCTTATATTTGTTTATTAAGTGTAATATATTTCATGTTCATATTGCATAAATATTCTATGGGTAGTTATGTTTTGTTTTCTTTTGTAGTTCTCGACCTCAGACAGTCTACCTTTCTGATTCAGATGTCAATGTTTTTGCGCTCAAGTTTTGGGGAGGAATGAAGGTAATATAATTTTTTGGCTTAACTTTATGCATTCACAAATAATAGAATGTTCCATGATGATACCTGTGATATATCTTGAGAGGAGCTTTAGGGTGAAAACCGTTCCCTAAAAAATGCTTGTGCCGCCAGGCAACCCTACTGGAAATGGTGCTTAAATAGTTTTAAATTACCTCATTTCACCTTACTTTGCCAACAAAATCCCTTCACTTATTCATTGATCCATTTAAAACATTTGCACACTCCAACAACAGTATTCATGACACTGTATTACAATTTGAAGTATCTGAATTTTTTTTTTTTTAAGGCATATTTTGTTGAAGAGATTATGGAGCCTGGAAGCTTTATATGTGTTAGTAACCTACAGTGGAGAGGTCATGATAAGAGGTCAAAGATTGCCTGTGGATATGTTAATGAAATGACTATTATCACCCAGAACCCAAGGATGAAGCACCTGAAGACAGCTCTGCAGCACTTACAGGATCAAATTAAGGTATTGATGATGAGGACTTCAGACTTCAAATTGGTACTGACCAATACTTCTTACATGAGCCAAGCGGTCAGGATGGTTGTGTAGTGGTGAGATTATAATGGTAGTTGTAATAATAGTTAATACCATTAGTGATAATGGTGGTAAACATTTGGGTGTGAGGTAACACCCCTGCTTCTTGCTCTAAGGACCACAGTTCAGAACTGGCTAATGTTTTAATTGGAGTTGGATGCTCTGCTCTATGAATGAACCTTATATGCGAGTTAGGTTGGATAAGGGATAATGAATCGGTTACATGTCAGTAATGGTGCTGCAGTTTGAAATAGATCATGTGGCAGCAGTGACAATGATAGCGGTGCTGATGTTGATGTTAAGTGGTGGTGGTGATGATGATGAACATTATTATGGTGGTGATGATGAGAAAGTTTGAAACAAGCAGTGGAACCTCAATTTTACGTACAGTGATATAATCTGAAGGTGTACATATATTGTAAAATTGATTACTTAACCCTTTGAACCTTGCATTATTTACATCTTGCGGCACCCTCACTCTTGAGTTATTTGGACAAAATATGCTTTTTTTTATTACAATCATCACCACCACCTCCTAGGCCCTGTACTGCTACCATAGCCATCCATCAACCTGACGCACAACTATCATCACTGCCACTGGCACTAGCACCACGTGATCGGCCTAGCCTAGGGCTAGAAACTACACTGTTTACCTCACTTTCACTTTCCAAATCACTTCCTGGATAATCGTCATCATCAATATTTTCTTGGGAGTCATAAAGTATCAATCTTAAAGCACCGTTTCCATTTATTGTCGAATTATTCAATATAAATTTGTTTTGTCAAAAAAATCCACACGTACAAGGCTGTCAGAACGATTTGGAAATGATGATGTCAAAAAATTACGTGATATTACTCATACTGGTCAGGTGATTACCCTGAATAACGTCACCTGACCCGCAAAGCCGGTATACCGGTCTTTAGGGTTATTGCAGCGTAAGCGCGCGGCCGTTTTTTCTGCCTTCCGGGTTGAAAGGGTTAAAGAATTTTAAATCTGTGCATTCCTATGTTCCATGTATGTTATTGATTTATTTAAATTTTTATTATATTCCAGTCTCCTTTTTTTCATCATTCATCTTATTGTTTTTGCAGGACCCAAAATCATTTATCATTGCCAATGGATGTGTTATTGAAGACCTATCATCCTCTGTTCATCAACCTCAGACACCAGTGACACCATACATCCAGCCTTCATTACCACCGCCCCCACCACTAAGCACTCCAAGACCTCAGGGAACAAGAAGAGTTGGTCAGACACTCAAGGTCACACCATCGCCTGGTTCTTTTCAGATAACACAAGGTGGCAGAACCTCCGCTCAACGAGGACATGCCTTTCAAGTGACAACACCTGTTGTACCAAGAAATAAACTTACAACTCCAAAGAGTCAAGACTTTCGATCTCACTATTCCAAGCGACTGTACTCAAAAGGTACTGACAGGCAAGCTCTCTCCAGCTCCAATGATCAGAAAACTAGTCAAGATAATCAGGAAGTATGTGGGCAAGTGGAGACACCGAGGGGTCAACATCAATGGCAAATTAAATCATCCAGAATTCCATTGGTATCAACACCTGCCAATACAGGAGTAACTTTTCCATTGTTCACCAAAAAAACATTGATTACTCCAAAAAGCCAAAACTTCAGCTCTTATTATAAAAGCAATGCCTTGACAACTACAAAAAGCTGTATATATGATAACCAGACAACTCCTTCTTTTAGAGGTCATTTGACATCAACACCACTCAGTGCCAAAAAAGAGAAGCAGTTGCTGATGAATAGCATACGGTTTGAAACATTGTCCAGAATACCATCACCACCTCCACTTGAGCCGCTGATAAACTTACAGTCTGGAGTTCTTGCGCAGGGTTACAAGATGCCTCTTGATGTCTTAGAGACTTCTAAGTGCAACATAATTCACCAAGTAGAATCTATTGACATTGATGATCTAGAACTCCAAGCATTAGATGCTGGTTTCAGCAACAGAACACTTGCTTTAGACGACTCAGGTGACTTTGATTTCTCAGAAACTTCCCCGAAGCAAAAATATTGTCAAAAGGAAGAACAAATTAATGGTGGTGATAAAACAAATTTGTCTCCAAAGCAGCTTGAAAATACATCCGGTTTATCACAGATCTCTGACATTCCTACACAGGTGTTGAGAGATCTGGACCTTTCTGGTTTAGAAGAAATTGCCAGCAGTGCCTCATCAATGACAGTAGTAAATGATGCTCAACAAGACACAGTCCACCAGATACCTGCAATAACTGAATTGTCAGAGACAGTGGAAGGAGAAATTGATGTTATTCAAATGAATTCAAATGATACTTTATCCCAGAGAGATGGCATATCATGTAGTCGAAAACGAAAACGCGAGAGCAAACGAGGCATGTACAACGAATGCTTTGAGTTGTCTCAAGAAGTTGCATCCTTAGAGCCAAAAGACTCGGTTTCCTTATTACATTTGAATGCCGAGTTCCAAGGCTGCTCCAGACGCGTTACAAGGTCCATCTCTAAGAAAGTCTTAGAAAAGTGAAATAAGCAAGTGTGGAAGAAACATATTTGAGAAACTGAAATTACGTGTTCCGGCTAATGTTATAATTGTTTTCTTTAGCTGAAAATTACTTCGGAATTCGCAATTTGCTAGTATCGCATAACTAAATTGATCTAAAAATTCTAATGGCTTAGAAAGGGCAGCCACATTTTTTAGACAAGAAACTTGTTTTCTGGGTCTAAAGTGACTTTTAAGATCAGTCAACACAATCTTTATTTTGAGCTCATTAATCCATGTACATGTAGAAATGTAAACATTCTGAGTTATTAAACCTTGATTGGTTATATTGCATCATGTACTTGCCTCTTATCTAAATTCAACAGTTGTCTTTTGAACTGAAATTTAAGGTCAGTACATGAAACATTGACTTTGAATTATTTTTTCAGTACATTCTTGTTTTTCAACTATGCTTACATGCTTTTATTACAATACATGCATGTTCTATGAATGGTTCGCATGATCACACCTACTGTATATTTTGAAAACATTCCGATTCCAAATGTGTTAGTCCTTTTATTTTGCTCTATTCACTCTAAATGCTTGCATTTTTCTTACATTAAAGACGTTTTACCAGATTTACAAGAATGTATATGTGTACTGTTTTGTATAAGTATTGTCTTTAGAAGTACAGTACAATGCTTACGCTAGCTGAAGACCTAATCATGATCAAATGTGGTGATTTGTTGTGTCGGGTGAGTGTGATAGGCCTGCCTCAAGGACAGTCATATATATATATATATATATATATAATATATATATATATATGTATATACCCTGTAGCTTTTCAGCCTACAATGTTATGTATATATATATATGTATATATATAGGTATAGGATTTCAAATGAGAATCTATATCAAATAACAAACATCATGATACTTAGGGCCAAAGGTCTGTTATTAGACAACTACCAGCACCAGTACACATTCTATACTTTGCTTATAATACCAACAGTACCAGTAGGATGGCCTAAAGACTGTCCCCGATGATTAATCGCTTTTGGTTGCGTAGTACTAAGTCTAAGTTTGGCTTTACAGATATTGTAATTTATTCCAAATATAAATTTAAAAAAAAATTAGCGCACCTACTGCAACGCAATTGATTGTCCCTAATTATCAGCTCCGGCTGGATGGACCACCCTCGTAAAATATTGTTGAAATAAAATAAATTTTTAAAAAAACGAAAAAATGGAAATTTTTATTATGTCCGCCGGTGCCTTGAAATCTCCAAAAATATGATATGTATATTTCTTCCTGTTTATGTAAATTTAAAGCATTTAACCATCCCATTACTACACTGTTTACATTCACCAATAACATTTTATATTTATGGATGTTTTTTAGCAAAACTATTTTCTGAATTTAAGAAAACCCAATTGAATTTTTTTTTTTTCACCCTCTGACGATCTTAAAAATATGTTCGCGAAACAAGGTACAAAAACAAATCTCGCCTAAGTAGTGGCATGTCATGGCAAAATGGGTAAGTTTTCGCACAGGCCTGTATTTAGTCAATGTAAGCTACAAAATGTAGGAGCTCAAAACATGGCATAAAAGTCTCTTACGTAAACAGACACACCGCAGAAAGGAAAACGCTTACACTGTATTGCTTGATATTGTCATTTAATCAATGACAAAAAGTAAAGTTTAGAAATACAGTACAGCCAATGGGTCAGCACTCGACTAAAATAAAATCCACTGAAATGTTGACCCTACAACAAATTATGCAATTATATTTCGACCAGTTACGACTAACTAAAAAAGTTTATCTAAAAAGCCTCCTAGGCTATCCTTGGAGTTGCACTGGAATAAAAATACATAAGCATCAAACTTAATAACGAATACAGATATGTATTTCTTAACATCAAATAGTAACAATTACACATTTTACATGACAATAAGTGAAGACTGGGTGCCAGAAAGGCCAGACTTCCACCGACATTTGGAGTTGTGGAGGTGTAAAGGGGTGGTGGTGGGAACCAGTGGCGTATCTAGCAGTATTAAAATTGGGGGGGGGGGGCGTGGAATTTATTTGCGGTGGCCACGCCCACTGAAAAATATTGCTTCTTAGATTCCCGAATACACGTTAACCGTGATAGCATAAGCATATGCCTAGCCTAATTTTTTTTGCTTCGAAGTTTTCGAATTGGGGGCGGCCCTCCCCCCTTGGATACGCCACTGGTGGGACGATTCAATTTTGTAGTCATTCTCTAGTGCGGTCATAAAGGCAAAAGAGTCTTTTTCGCTCGGACAAGCCCGCTTCACCGATAAATCTAATTACTGTATTATGCAGCGCCCAAAAATATCGTCTTCCGACCGCAACCAAAACAAAGATAAAAACAAGCTGGTGATATCTGCTTACACAAATGTTTTTTCATTATTGTGCCTCCATGAAGAGCTGGTTTTGGTTTTTTTTCACTATAGGTCAACAGTTTAATGTCTAATCATGTCAAGTTTTAGTGCTGTAAATGGTCAACAAATCATTTCTATTTTTAATGTTATTTCGGTAGGAAATTCCATTAATACAATGTATGCACAAATATTTTTGGAAAGCAATTACTGTACTTAAAATACCTTGGATCCGCCACTGGCCCGCCCTCAATATGTTACACCCTCATTAGTCCCATGTGTAATACACCTAGGTACGTACGCCCACTTCATGTACAATTAGAGCGTGAAGTGACAGCAATTATCTATTTAACTGAACTACCGTAGAACGTCGAATAGAAGCCCAATGGGCTTATTCTCAAGAAACCGCAAATCTCGAATTGAAGCCCCTCTTTAGTTTGCAAAAGTAGCCTCGAAAAGCAGTCCACGGGCTTTTTTTTATGATAGCATGGGCTCGACGTTTTACGGTATCGCATTTGTTATATTGCACAATTATTATCTGTTACAGTGATATGGAAATATATTCTCATTAATTTTTTTTTTATTACATGAAATTTATTGCAAGCAGAAAACGTAACCAAATTTACAAATTAAACAATTCATTTAATTATGTTTATTAGATTAACCGCGTCGGTATAACTTAAAGGGGAAGAGAAATGTATTGCAGGTGTTAATATTTCACACCATCGTTCAAACGATTCTGTTCTACAATGGTAGCAATAAAATAATACACCTATGTAGCTAAACGCTTTGGTGCTTGTTATTCATTACTCAACATTCTATTACACAAAGAACAATGGAAATGAGTTACTGTACTGTGATCGAATATCGCAAGCAACGTCATGATATTAAAGTTCGTGTTATTTTTTTTTTTGTAAAGTTGATATCAATTAACATTTAGCAAATGTTGTGTCCCGTGACTCCGGCATTTAGCCCAAATAATATGAATTACTAGTTTAACGTCCCCACCACCCTCATCACATTTTTGGAGCCTCTTGAAACAATACTATTTGCTATTTAAACAAATAATCATTTTGCCACAAATAGTAAAATGCATTAAAACAATTCATTTTACTTCTTTATTAAAAAAAAACATATTTACAGCCTTACCACTGGTAAATATATACAAAAGTAGTAAATATCAATTAGTAAATAAAATACCTTCGCCGAAAAATAATTTCAAATCCCGGACGTGAAACTAACAATAATAATACTAATTTTGTTTGCATTAGTCTGAGAGGCCTAAAATGTATTGAATTTGATCACCTTCATTTTCCTACAATACTCTTTGAAATATATGCTACCTATGTTGGGCTCACAAATCACATTCAATATGTGATTACTTAGCAACGGAGGAAAATTCAAAGCAATGGCTTCACATGCCTGAAAATGAGGTAAGCGCCATCACTGTCTCTTATAGACATCTAGATGTGTATAAGAGACAGATATACATCTTGCTTTTGGAAGTTGTAATTTTTGCTGAGCAAGTTTATAGTGGGGGGGCCCGAGCTTTTTTCTGAAGCTGTGTGCCCTCTCCCAAGCCTCCATAGATACAAAAATCCTCATAATTTTGTTGAAGTCTTTCGAAGCAAATACGTCTACAATTCAATTAAGTTTATGGCTTGTTTGATTCTTTTAAATGATCTATTCAATTAATCTTCTTTTTTTTCTCTTCTTTTTTTAAATTTTATCACGTTTATGCAGAAAACGAAACAAGTCATTTACGCTTTCTGTTGATGTTAACAGGCAATAAGAGTATTTTTATTTTTTAAATTTAAAAGATGCATTTTTATATGTAGGCATATTTAATTGTGATTTCCATGTTAGGACAAAAAAAAAATTCACATTAATCTTAACTTTGTTTCTTTCAGTTAAGTCTTTAATGAACATCATCTTTTAGTTTACTGTATTATTCTTATTTTAGTTTTTTTTTTCAATAGTAATCTATGCAGTAAACACTGTCATTTTATTTGACCGCCAAAATCATATGACATGCCTAAATATGGTCATAATGACATCATATCATGGCCATAGGCATACAACAGTTTGTTGTCAAAGAAAAGTTGATAGTGTGGACAGCTTAAAGTTCTGTCCACAGTGGCGGATCCAGAGATTTTCTGACGGGGGAGGTGGGTGGGGGAGGGAGCACAATATGAAGTTCACGCCGCCACGCCCACCACAGCCGCACCATGGTTGGGTTGGTGAAAATAAGTGGTAAACAATCGAGCTCGCCTTTCCCCCACGGCTGTATCGCCACTGAACTCATGAGTCCACTCCTTTTTTGCTCTTTCCTCTCTTTAACTCAAATTTGTCATCTTATTATTCTGCTTGACTGACGAAAGATGGGGGGGGGGTGGAACGGGCCCTCATGCACACCCCCCCCCCCCCCCCGCGCCTGGTCCACACTATCATATTTTATGTGACAAAAAAAACAGTGGTATGTATATTCAAGGTTCATTCGTCAAAATCATAATTGCATTTTTTTGGGAGGGTAAATATGACATCATCTACCCATATATGGGCACATCACACAAATGCGTTAAGCCTGGTTCCCACAGAAATCGCTACGCGCTGTCCTTTGGCGACGTTAATTGGTCAGTTGGTTCAGGAAGCCTTTCCCGATTGCGTCGGGGACAGCCACCTTAACGCAGTGCAAGGATTGCAGTGAGAACGTTGCGGCGACTGTGTAGAGTCTATGAAAACTTGGGTTTACACAATGTGATAGTGCGGACAGCGCTTGAAGCTTTTGTTCACATTATATCAATTTTAAAAAAAATCGCATGACGCCCTTTTCTATTATCTCGCACTTATCTGTTTATGATGTAATTTCTATTCATATAAAATTTAAGTGAACCATACGCCAATAAAATGTAACAATTCACTTTCTATCATCATTCTCTCGTATATTCACACGCAAACTCGACAGCAGTTTGCTTTTATTTTAGGTCAGTACAAAACAGAACGAATTGCCATTGCTAAGAGTAAGTATTATATAAGCCTATTCTTCGGTGAGATGATAAATTCAATTTAATTAGGCCACCTACATAAAAATGCAAATTACTATAAAAATTTAAAAGATTATTATTATATATCATTGATTAAAATTGTCAATAATATTATTACTTAAATTAATTACTATTAATATTTTTATATACAAATTCACGATGAACCGCTGGCCATGTAATTGCTTTTAGCTTTATATC